GATTTGGGATCCAGGGTGCGTGCTGTGGGATCCGGGGTGTGTTCTGTGGGCTCTGGGCTGTAGGATTTGGGCTCTGGGGTGCGTGCTGTGGGCTCTGGGCTGTAGGATTTGGGATCCAGGGATGTGCTGTGGGCTCTGGGCTGTTGGGCTCTGGGGTTGTGCCCGCACCTGCACTCCTCCCCCTCCAGCAGCTTCCTGTAGGTCGCGATCTCGATGTCCAGGGCCAGTTTGACGTTCATGAGCTCCTGGTGCTCTCGGAGCTGCCGGGCCAGGTCGGCCTTGGCCTGTTGCAGGGCCCCCTCGAGCCCCCCCAGCTTGGCCCGGGCGTCCTTGAGCGCCAGCTCCCCGCGCTCCTCCGCCTCCGCCACGGCCGCCTCCAGCCCCGAGCGCTGCCGGGGGGACACCGCTGGCACCGGGGGCATGGGATCCCTGGCACAGCATCCCCAGAGTGCCAGGATACCCCCGTCCCAGGATCCCTCATGTCCCGGGATCCCCAGAGTGCCAGGATCCCCCCTGTCCCGGGATTCCCTGTGTCCTGGGATCCCCAGAGTGCCAGCATCACCAGGATCCCCCATGTCTCAGGATGCCCCTTGTCCCGGGATCCCCAGAGTGCCAGCATCACCACGATCTCCTGTGTCCCAGGATCCCCAGAGTCCCAAAACCACCAGTGTCCCAACATCTGCCATTTCCCGGGATCCACAGAGTCTCAAAATCACCACTGTCCCAGGATCCCCCGAGTCCCAACATCACAAGGATCCCAGGATCCCCAGAGTCCCAGGATCCCCAGTATCCTGGCGTCACCAGTGTCCCAGTATCCCCAGAATCCCAGCATCACCAGTGTCCCAGGATCCCCCATGTCCTGGGATCCCCTGTGTCCCAACATCCCCCGTGTCCCGGGATCCCCAGAGTCCCAACATCACTGGGATCTCAGGATCCCCAGGATCCCGGTGTCACCAGGATCCCAGGATCCCCTGTGTCCTGGGATCCCCAGACTCCCAACATCCCCACTGTCCCAGTGCTGCTGTGTCCCAGTATCCCCAGTGTCCCACTATCACCGGTATCCCGGGATCCCCCATGTCCCGGGATTCCCAGAGTCCCAACATCACCAGTGTCCCAGGATCCCCAGTCCCAACATCACCAGTGTCCCCAGATCCCCCGTGTCCCAGGATCCACAGAGTCCCGGGATCCAGAGTCCCAAAATGGTCAGTGTCCCAGGATCCCCAGAGTCCCAATGTCACCAGGATCCCGGGATCCCCAGAGTCTCAACATCATCAGGATCCCAGGATCCCCAGGATCCCAACATCAGCAGTGTTCCAGTATTGCTGTGTCCCAGTATCCCCAGTGTCCCAGGATTCCCAATGTCCCAGTATCCCCGGTATCCCAGTAGCCCCAGCATCCCTACATCCCCCATGTCCCAGTATCACCAGTATCCCAGGATCCCATGTCCCTGTATCCCTAGTGTCCCAACATCACCAGGATCCCCAACATCACCAGGATTCCAGGATCCCCTACATCCCCCAGAGTCCCAACATCCCCCATGTCCCAGTATCCCCAGTGTCCCAGCATCCCCAGTGTCCCAACATCACCAGTTCTTGAGGGCCTTAATCTCCAATCCATGACCCTCCCAAATCCCAGGACTCCCCAAATACTGGGACCCCCCAAATCCACGACACCCCAAAATCCACGGTACCTCGAAATCCAGCACACCTCCCCAAATCCCAGTCTCCCCCAAATCCCAGTCTCCCCCAAATCCCAGTCTCCCCTAAATCCCAGTCTCCCCCAGATCCCAGTGTCCCCTAAATCCCAGTCTCCCCCAAATCCCAGTCTCCCCCAGATCCCAGTCTC